GTGATCATAAAATTACATGCGAAGTAAAGCGATGTCGTAGCACGATGTGTCGGCATTGATTTCAATTGAAAACTGCATGACAGCTTTCGAAAGAGGTGATTTGCAATTTTTAAAAGGTAAATTAGGCCTTGAAAGAAGAGTTTTTACATGATTCGTAATGATAACAGTTCAAATGTATTTTACCAAATCACGCAATAAACATGTTTTTTCTTGAGTAGCGTGAACTGATCGTGAACTCCGATTTGACCATGTTATATCGAGGTGGAATTGAATTGATTTCAATCTAAAGACTGTGTCTATCGCAGAAAGTATTTACTTACAAACAAAGAGGTGCTAATTCCACAAATTTGACTAGCCGCTACGTATCGTGCGACTAGGTCTATATTGTTTATAAATTATAATCCACGACTGGCAGGATGCATGTCGGTCGGTACGTAATTATACCAACAATCAGACAATAGTCCTCGTCGGAAGCATTTCCGTGATGGTCACTAATTTTGAGTGACGGTCGGGGCCGACCGGCGTGGCGAACAAAGCTTTTCCACATCTGATATTGGCATGTCAAATATGAAATCAAGCGCCGAGGTGGGAACACATAGCGCCAAGGTCCCTAGTGAAAAAAGCCAAAAAGCCCTGGGGAGAACCCTGATATTGATTGCAATTCTTTGGCATCACTTAATCTCTCTCTCAATCTATATGTTCCTTTCTTTGAGGTACATTATACTGTAGCCAAATCCACACACACTGAACTCTAAAAATTTTAAATTATTATACATCTGTCACCGTAACATCATAAGTTACAGCATGCCGTAATTTTGCTATATTTTATGGGTTATTTTCTTCCTACCATATAAGGAAATGCGAATTACAAATATAAGCGTCATCTAATAGTAAAAACAAATATGGCTGCCACCAGGGTTTGACCAGACTCCATATAAAGAAGTTCGCTGATTCTGTTCTAAACATTTTGAATTTCGGCATTCCCATGATGTATCCTTGGAAGGAAAAGATGTATAATAATAAGGTTATTACTAGAATACCTCAAAGTATGCACTCGACAGTACGCCGTCGCATTGACCTCCTGTGCGCATCCGTTGATACTCCCACCTGTACTGTCTTTGTGCATGCTTTGAGGTATCTTTGTAATAATCTCATAGTATTCATTAGTACACTTTTACAGCCTGTACACAGGTTATAGAGACAAAGAAAAAATGACTTTCACAGAGAAATTAGTTAGACAGTGTCACCACAGTATGAATTTCATTAGGAGGAAATTATCATTTAAAATATATTATGAATCTCCAAATGGACATCAGGAGAGGAAGCTTCAATTGTCTTATTCTGGTCTCAGGCTTTATTTAGCCTTAAATGCGTGTGCCCTCAGAATACTGAAGTTTAAGCACTGCATTTTGTTTCCTAAGTGACAGTAACTATCAATATTTCGCTGAAAAACAAATCAGATAAAGTTTGTGAATTACATGTCCTACGGTTGTTTTCTTTACAGTGATCTTGGTGCCCATATTGATGGTTTTATAGCGGTCGTGGCCCATACCTTTGTAGTAGGAGCGTCAAAAGATAATAAAGTTAGCGGACGTAAAGCGGATGTTATTGTGGCTGCCCATCAAGCAGCAGAAGCTGCGCTTAGGTTGGTTAAACCAGGCAATGAGGTGGGTGTGTCTCAAGTTAGTTTTGTATTCTGATGTGACATGAGATGGGTGTGTCTCAAGTTAGTTTCATATTCTGATGTGACATGAGATGGGTGTGTCTCAAGTTAATTTTGTATTCTGATGTGACATGAGATAGGTGTGTCTCAAGTTAGTTTCGTATTCTGATATGACATGAGATGGGTGCGTCTCAAGTTTTTGTATTTTGATGTGACATGAGATGGATGTGTCTCAAGTTTGTTTTGTATTCTGATGTGACATGAGATGGGTGTGTCCAAAGTTAGTTTCATGTTGTGATTTAAATAGTAATAAAATTAATTTCCTATCATCTCTAATTGGCTTGCGTTGTGAATTGATGCCATTGCTGCTGACATATTTTGCATAAATTTTATGGAATTTATTTTTGCTATTATTGCTTGGAGGGCTGAATTAGTGAAAATAAAATCCAGTATACGTTTTCCCTATATATTACATTCAACTTTTGTACAAAACAACTGAAATATCTCAACAAAAATTTATTTCAGCAAAAATAATTAAGTGTTTTTTAGTACGTCATGTTATTTATGTTTGAAAAGCTTTTTTTGCAACTACATTATGGTTGTAGGATTTACTCGCAAATAATCTTTCATGAAAACAATAATGATTTACAATATTGGTAACCTGTAACCATTGTAACACATGACTATCTTATTTCTGGTTTTAAGCTTGCAGTCATTATGTATGTTATAATTTCTCTTTCTGTGTTATGGTAGTTGGGCTTTATTTATTTACAATTGGTATTCCAGGAACCGTTACTAAAATACTGAGTCAGAATTCAACTGAAGCGCAGACAACAAGCAGATTGATATTCAAAACTAATTTTGTGTATCATCTGATACCACCATGTGAATCTAATATTGAATCTGATTCTAAAACCAACTGTATTCTACTTGATTATGATTGACTGAGATATTAAATTCATTGAAATTTTTTCCCAGAACTCTTTAGTTACTGATACTATTCAAAAAGTTGCTGAAGCTTACAACTGCCAGCCGGTCGAAGGAATGTTGTCACATCAACTGAAAAGAAATGTTATAGACGGTGAAAAATCTATTATTCAACATCCTAATGAAGCGCAAAGGTGAGTGTGAATATCAATGTCACACAGTGCCCTCTAGAAGTGGAGATTGAACAATCTTTTGTTTTTGTTTGCTCAACAACTTACTCACAAAGCCGACATATTACTGGTGCTATGGCTGTAGGCACCATTAAAACATCACCATAATTCCTTGACTTTATTTTATGTCGTTTGCTGACAAAATCCAGATAAAGTAATGGCGCCGAACAACATTTGCACATAAATAAGTGAAACACAGTATGATAAAACAGATTAGTTGACAAGTTTGGAGAAAAGTTTGTTCAACCTAGAGGGGTTCCTGAATCTGAATAACTATGAAAATCAACACCTAACAGTCTGACCAATCACATAACAGCTTGTTTTTCCAACATATCAAATTTTGTCTTGTATATACTGTAAAACATTTTGAAAAAGCAACATACAATTTTAGCGAATGGTTGTAAAATGATGTAATAGATAAATGTTAATTTAGCGAATCTCTTGTCTTTATTTCCTGTTTTCACAATACTTGTCTGTCACCTGCCAAAACAAATGCGCAGTTATCACCTCCTTAAAAACAAAGAAAAACTGTCAAATGTAATAAGGAAGCGCTCCAGATTATTACGTTTTCTGTGTTTACAAAGTGTGTGTGTGGAGAAAAAGACGTTGTTTGGCCGCCATTTTGAATTTATAATGAAGTCATTAGCGACAACTTAATTTAGCGAATTAGTTCTCACGCTGAATTCGTTAAAAAGACATGCTCGAGAAAAAGACACGTTTTATAGTATGCTTTGCCACAACTTATTTTTTTAAACTATTTATATGTTGTGAATTTCAGAAAAGAGCATGACAAATGTGATTTTGATGTTCATGAGGTGTATGCCATTGACATGCTTGTTAGCACTGGTGAAGGTAAAGCAAGGGAAAAAGACGCTCGTACTACAGTTTTCAAACGAAAAGACGCGATATACCAGTTGAAGATGAAAGCATCTAGAATGTTCTTTAGTGAAATGGAACGTAGATTTAATCTTATGCCTTTCACTCTCAGGTAAGTTGCAAATGGTATCTGTCTGTTGCAATTCTGTAGTGTTCCATGTGTGTTATTTTAACACCATCAGATCAATAGCATAGCTGTAGTAGCTGCATTTTTCTAATCAATAACTGGTAATAAAAATGTCCTTCCAGTACTTCAATAGGTGTACTTTAGACTAAATGCACTTGTGAGAATTAGCTCAGTAATCTTTTTGTATTGTTTGGTGGCAATGCAAAAGAAAGTTACGCAAAATGTATTTGAAGATTGATAGACTTACCGTTCCTTGTTCGATATGGGAATCATAGCGATGTATACAACGCATGTGAAATGCATTGTTTTTTACATGAAATTCGAACACGTTCTGCGTGATAACCGCCACCATTTAAAAAAGAAAACTGTGTATATCAGCGCACATGTGCACATTATTATAAACAATGGAAAGACTAACAGAAAAACCTAAGATCCAGTCATCTAAGTGTAATATAGTGAATAATTTACCAATGTTTACTATTACGGGCTGCTATTTTGAGAAAAGCACAATTGTCTTTACAAAACAATGACAAAATTAGGATCCATTAGATTGGGAAACCTTAATCAAAAAATGCTGAAACATGTGCATTTTCAAGAAAAATCATCTATACGTCATGCCGATTGGCATAGAATGCCAGATAATTTTTTAATTTTCACACACTTGCAAAATCAGCAAATATTTATCTAGTGACTGTAAATCGGCATATACTAAAATATTAATGATTCGCTAATTTTTTTTTCTCCCAACCATTTAGGGCTTTTGAAGATGAGAAGAAAGCACGCATGGGAGTGGTGGAATGTGTAAAGCATGGTTTAGTTGATCCATTTCCTGTATTATATGAAAAAGATGGTGAGTTCTGCATTAATTTGCCTATCACAATAGGAAAAGGCACTTGATTGTTTGTTTTTGATATTAGTGATGGTTCTAAGGGATTGAAAATAGCTGATAATCTATAACACAATTACCATAGCAAAACGGATGTGGTCATGGATGGTTTATAGTGTTTACTAATGATTGATATTAGGTAATATTAGTTGATAGGTGATATCAATACTGTAAAATTTGTTTTCATTGGCATTTAATTTCACTATTTTGGTGTTTTGAGGCCGAAAATTCATGAACATTTCTTTGTAGTGAAATTAAAGCAGTCTACAGTACATGCGTATATATTCAAATTCGGTTCTTGCAAATATACCAGAAATTATGTACAAAGGCAGTACTCAACTGGTGGTAGCAGTGGTCAATCTTATACTCCCATAGTGAATATACTTTGTGATATTCTCTTCAAAATTCTTATTATATTGTTATGCACCTAATCCTGCTTGTATTCATGTAGTGACGTATAACCACAAAAATTATTTGTGCCAGCATGGTTGTTAACATTCAGTCTTGCACTACATGGTTGTGTTTGAATATTGCATACATTTTGACACGGATTTTCCAAATAAGCAAGTCATTTAAACACTTTTGAACATGTGTGAACGTGATTTACGGTCGTATGAATTTTCTTGGTTACCCTGCCAGATGTATACTAATGAATAAAACTACCAGCTCAGAAAAACTGATCTTTGATTTCAAATTTCAGGTGAATTTGTAGCTCAGTTCAAGTTCACTGTTCTCTTGATGCCTAATGGCCCACAAAAGATTACCGATGGTCCATTTGATCCAGAAATATATGACACAGAGTATAAAATAGAAGATAGCCAACTTAAGGTAAGTGCTTATTAGCTATTCTTGGAGCTACGTCACAGAACACACTACATTGCTAAGACGTGCACCACTGTACCATGTGTTTCTATGGGCTCTGCGCGAGCTGCTGTGGAACGCCAGTCGAAGAACCGATGAAAACAGCTAAAATCAAGTTAACAGCGCAAGCTCAACTATGAGCCAATCCTGAACAACCAAATTTATATATGTTGCACATGTGGGGGTAATCTTGTTACACTGTTCAGGGGAGTCTCGACAACCACCCAAAAGTACAGTTTCTCAGAATTGTTGGCCTTTGTTTTCATCGTGATGGTTGCCTGGCGGTGAAATTGCCTGAATGTCCACCCGAGGATGAGTGTATTATTCAAATTATTCAATTCTGTAAGAATTTATATATACATGCTCAGACATCAGTATTTTGATATTAATTTTTATATTTTGAAAGCTGTGGAATGAACACTGTGGATATTATAACAGGTTATTAAATTGACAACCATCCACAAAATGATAATTACCTTGCTCATTCATTTATGACGCAGACGCAATAGATTTATAGTCTTAGAAATATTTATTGCCAATAAGGGGGAAGCACCTGAATAGAAATTCAAATGAGGGATTAGTAAATTAAAAAAGAAAACATAAAGTTATAACGTCATCAGAATAACTTGAGGTAAATGAGCCATGCCCAATAGTGAAGCTCCCCCCCCCTCCCCCCTCCCCCACCATACTGGAGAATGGGGAAGGTAGAGGACAAAGTCTCTTTAAGAATTTGAAGACTAGACAGTAAGACAACGATTCCAAATAACTTCATTCACACAAACCACTGTATGCATAATGAAGGCACTCTATAATCCTGCGTACCAGGGATAATGCGAGATATTAGAACCATGCGAGATGATATATATCTACGTCATAAATACTAGCATTAATGTGATGTATTAAAATCAATTGTGGGATATCCTTTATCTCGTCTCAATTCACCTCAATACACCCCCTGCTCAAAATTTACCCCTCACAACATACTTGTTCATCTATTTTGCAGACTCTTCTTACTGCTTCAGCGAATCCAAAAACAGCAAAGAAAAAGAAAAAGAAGGTAAATTATATCATTGAAAGTTGTGTGCAGTAAATTAAAGACTTGAAAGAGCAATCATTGTACTCTTTAACACTACTATGAAGTAATTTATTGTCACTAGAATTAATTTTCGCTAAAAAGACTTTTTGGGTATTTTGTATGGAATTTATTTTGTCTGATTTTTGGTAGGTTGAATGTAAAATATAGGAAAAAAGGTATATTCACTGGATTTTATTTTCACTGAATCACTCCTTCAGCGAAAATAGCGAAAATAAATTTCAAGTGAAAATAAAGTATTTTACAGTATTTCAACAGACATTGCTATTGTTTATGATCAACATAAGTTGCATTTCTTCTTCGCAAATCTGTGTGTTGCCATCCCATGAGGTACCATCCCAATGATAATAATATGTAAAATGTTGAGTTGCGGCGTAAAACAAAATAAGAGACTTTAGTTTTATGCCGCATTCAAGATGGCGGCCCCCATAAAGTAAATATAGTTATTTTATTATCACGTGTGCACCAGCTGACTGTGGTAACTCGTCGTCCACACATATTCCATGTATGTAAATGTGTCAAAATGGGCGTAGTGCGAGTGGTTAGTGCTAGTAGCACTAATCCGAAAAAGTACTAGATCTAGTGCTAAAATGGCACTAGATCTAGCGCTAAAATGGCACTAGATCTAGTGCTAAAATGTGCACAGTGCGAGTGGCATTGTTATCGCATTGTCATCACATTGTCAACGACGTCGAATAATAGACATCAACAAACACTTTCATATGCAAACTACAAACAGTATAAAACATCGGCAATATATGCGCGAGATGTCCATAATAATACTTTCTTTATATAATACCGGATTCTGCCGTAAATTGATGGGTTTCAAAATTTAAAAAAATATTTATCAAATATTTTGGGGGACATTTTCATTGTATCCAACTACACAGACTTTCTACGCCGTCAGTTGGGCCACCCAAGACGAAAGAAACTATTGCAGAATTAACAATAATTAATAATTCTTGCTGAATTAAAAAGTAGACCACCTGAAATGTCAATACAGTGTCACCCAGTGTAATTTTTCAAATACATTTGTTTTTATTTTATTTGTAACAAAAGTATATTTTGTTACAACGTTTCTAATTAAAACGAACACAACTGCATTGCGTAGCAGCATGGATCATGGCAGCAAGCGATCCCGGCAAGCGATCACAGATGCTCAATCCGGACATGCTACGTTTCACAAACGTTGATTATTACTCAGTAGTGATTATAATAATGGACACAAAATAAATTCGTTGATTGCCATGAAATTTAAATAAAATTCAATTTAGTTTCATTGTAAGCAAATGATTCCGATCGCATAAAAACGCTTGATGCGGTAGGGTATCCGCCATGTTTCTCTTGCATGAGTTGAGCTAATAGGTCAAATCTCTAATTAACCAATCAAAATGCTGGATGATGCCGACGAGTTCAAATCACCATATCCATTTAAATATGTTAATGTTATTGAAGGCAACGCGGAAGAGATTTGCCGATGTTGTACGCTCCTTTGGCTTGGATTTTGATGGGAAAATAAAAAAATAGTTGTTTTCAAAGATGAACTTAACATTGTTTACAGTCTTTGTCCAAACGGAGCTTACGCTAGTCACAATAAACACGCTCTTGAATAAAAACTTAAATAGACTGATTTAGGCGTCAGGAACAATTGAAATGTCGGATAAATTACGACAACATATTTTAAAAAATAAATTTAAAAACTGCTGAAAATTTTTTTAACGCGACCAAACACTGGGTTTGTTTAGCCGTGAAGGGTTAAAATACGTATTTCACAACCGGAAATTCAACAGACTAACTTTAATTATTAGCAACTGTAACAAGAACAAGATTTCGAGAGTCTACAACAAAAAATCCTAAGGGCTCCTAAAAATATTATTGCAGAGAAAGTGTCTAGACATATATAATATGGTCGCGTTAAAAAATCAAAAAATCGACGAGGTTACTTCATATTCCGTTAGTTCCTCT